AAACTGTTGAGAATAGCTTTCTGAGCCTTGTTGACTTAAGTGAAAACTGTATCCCTCTTTGTAGCAAACCATGTAGCAAACCGTGCCCCTTTGTAGCTAACATTATTTTCATGTACGTTAATTATCTGTATGTAGATCAAAAAAATGAAAGCTGCAAACATATCCCAAAACAACTTGTACCTTATCTTTTGTAGCCTGACCATTGTAGTTTAACAATTTTAAAAGCTCGAATACCAGTATAGAAGTAAAAAAAAAAAAAAAAAAAAAAGGCAAAATTGTGGGAGAAAAGGTGGCCTCCTAAAGCTCAAGTAAAGAGGAAGAATGTCAGGCTTTCCTTGAAATGAAATGTGTTAGGAATATAGTACAAAGTGAGGTTGGAGAGTAACGGAGGGATGGAAGGAGGTCCCCACAGTGTGCTCGGCCTCCAGGAACTAGTAAAGGCACTATACAAGCACTGCAGTCAGTCCTACGCCACTGTCCTGTCGACCACAAATGGCTGGGAGCTGCCAAGATAGTCATAGCAGCTGGGGAAGAGAACGATACTGGGGTTGAACCATGCACTTTTTTTAGAGCACAGTTGTTTTCATAGAATCACAGTATGGTTTGGGCTGGAAGCAACCTTAAAGATCATCTAGTTCCAACCCCCCTGGGCATGGTCTCATGGGCCATACCTTCCATTAGACCAGGTTGCTCAAAGCTCCATCCAATGTGGCCTTGAACGCTACCAGGGATGGGACATCCACAGCTTCTCTGGGCAATCTGTTCCAGTCTCACCACCCTCTATTTCTTCCAAATATCTAGTCTAAACCTACCCTCTTTTAGTTTAAAGTCATTGCTCCTTGTCCTATTTGTACACTCCCTGATAAAGAGTCCAATAAAGACTAAAGATAAAAAGATAAAGATCAGGAGATAAAGTTTTCTATGCTTTTATGATAAAATGTGGGGAAAAGAGAAAAAGAAATGATTTAAAATAAAATTCTATGAAAATTTGGGAGAAGCCATTCTTGCGCTGTAAGCTTCATCCTTTTGTGTAGAGGTATTACACACTCATTGTCCTTCACAGCATTGCGCTGTGTGGAAGAACACAGGAAATAATTAATTCTTAGCTGGGTAATGTTGGTCAAGGCAATTCCATCCATATGTATCTTAGTTTCCACTTTAAAAAAACAGTATAAATATATATATGTTTTCTGAAGTACTTTGAGAACTGCAATAGTACTAAGAGCTGAGTCTCACTCCTACATAATTGGTTTTTCCTTCAGGACTTTTACTCATGCGTTCTGTGGCTGCAGTGGATGCCATTCCCTAACTGTCAAATGGCTGACCTTGGAATCTGACATTCAGGAGATCTCTTTCTGTAATTCCTTACAAGAACGTCCAGGTAGAATACACGACGTACGCTGTTGTATTCCACCGAAATTAACGCTTCCTAACAGATCCTCGTGCTTCATAACGCAATGAAGATGCCGGTTACTCATGGGGAGGGGAGCAGCTGTGCCTTATTACCCTAACAGATTAGGCATTCTATATAATACGTTAAACAAGAAGCCCTAAAGCCTGCATTCCTAACGCCAACCGCCTTGGTTCCGCAGCGCTGGCCACGCAGGACCGGGCCGGGGCCGGAGCCGTGCAGCGGGCGTGGGGCCGGGGCTCGCGGCTCTGCCCGGTGCCCGCAGCCCGGCTTCGGCGGCGCCTTCTCGGGGGCGGCTCCGGCCCGGCGCTGCCCGCGGCCCCGGGCTCCGTCCCCAGCGGACCGGCGGAGCCGCCCCCGGCCCGCGCAGCGTCGCCCCCTCCCCCCGCCGCACCTCGCTCCGCACCGCGGCCGCCCCGGGGCGTGCGGGCTCTCGCTGCCGGTCGCAGCCCCCGGGGCGCCGGCTCGGCGCGGCAGGGGTTAAGGCCGCTCCCTCCCGCCTGCCCGGCCGCCTCCGCCCGCGCGTCCCCCGCTAGGCCACGGCTGACCTTCACGGCAGCCGCGCCGGGCATGCGCGCCGCCGCGCTCGGGGCCTGCGGGCGGCCCGGCCGGGGCCCGCTTGGGTCCGGCGCGGCCCCGGGCGGGCGGCACGGCCCTGCCCGGTCCGGCTCGGCTCGGCTCAGGCGCCCGACCGCGGCGCGCTCGGGACCGCGGCTGGCGCACGCCCTGCCCGTGCCGGGCGCGCCGTTGCCATTCGGTGCCGATGGTGCTGGCGGAGGAGCGCGGGGGGACGCGAGGGGGGACTGCGCGCCGCGCCGCAGCCGGCAGCCGCGCCCCGCCACAGCCGCGGCCGGGGGCGGGGGGGCGGCGGCGGCCTCGTCCTGCGGCGCGGAGCCCCGCGGGGGGCGGGCAGGGCCTCGTGGTGCGCGGGGCCCGAGCCGCGGGGTGAGGCGCGGCCGGGCGGCGCTGCGGCTCGCAGGCGCTCGGGGCTGCTGGCGGGTGTTTGCCTGAAGCCTTCTGGAGCAAACCGCTACTTGAGCGTGCCTCGAGCTGCGCGGTGCCATTTCGTGAAGTAACGTGGTAACGGGCTTCCTCGTCAGCGAGGGAGTAGCAGGCTCTGCACGGGCTGGGGTCCGGAGCCCCACCGCAGGGAAAGCTGCCGCTTCCCCACCAAGGGCGGCAGCCGACGGTTGGTGTGGATTTTAACGAAAAAGCCTGTCGTCTTGCAGGGAGGTTGAGAAAGGGCTCACAAGATGGGAGCCAGTGTTAACTGTGAGTTCTCGTGATCTAAAAAAAAACCTTGAGTACACAGTCCCAGTGCCACCTTGCCAAGCGTGCTGACACGTAACAGTTTGGTTCCAGATCACAAGTACCATCAGTTCCAGTCAACCAGAACCTCAGGAACCATTTAGTTCATGTCCTGAATAAGGTTGTGCTGCTTTGCGAGGCATACTGCTTCTGAAGGACTGAGAGGGGGAGGGGAGATGTAACACCCACTCTCCCGAAATTTCTGTAATTCCTGTGGGTATCGCAGCGCAGCAGTGCCTGGGTTGGGGTCACCCTGAGAATCAGTGGAGATTGTTGTCTTCATCCCCGTGTTCAAAAGGCCGTATGATCTTCATGATCTGCTCGTCGCTGCTAGCTAATATGGTGCCTTTCCTGAGCTTGTTTTTATTAGTGGTGGAAGGCAGCAATTTATTTATTTGTTTCAGATCTGATTCTCCTCTGTTTGCAGTCTTGCCAGAAAATTCACAGCCCCTAGACAAGAATTTCAAGCAGAGGAATAGAATAAACCCCTCTCGTAACCTGGCAACATCTCCTCTATTGCTGTGTCAGGCAGACTGGGAAACATCAGCCCCTTGCAAGCTGCAGACACACATGGAGCTGTCGGTAAGCAGATCGTGCCCCAGGCCACTGCTGCCTGCTCTGCCATGTTGAAGGAGGCAGCGCTGCTGCTTGCGGAATGGCCGCTGTGCTGCCGGCACCCGGTGCCATACTAGCTCATGTCCAGGGCCGCTGGAGCAGCAAGCGGTCATGGAGGCAGCCCCTTCCTGTGGGTGGCAGGTGGGCTCCACATTCCCAGCAGTGTTCCAGGATGACATGCGTTGCTGTGCAGGGCTTTGTGTGATAAGCAGCGAGCTGCTGATGTCTCAGTGGCAGCTGTGGTGTTAATAATTTGTCTGCATCTGTCAGTCACCTGGGGGTCTCTAATGGATCCGTCACAGCTGTATCAAAGCATCCCGAGGGCGGCCACCCCGCCAGTGAGGCTGGGAGCGAGGAAGCGAGGCAGGCGCTGTGCCGTCGCCATGCTGCCCCCCCGCCCCCTGCCTCCCGCTCTTCTCACACTCTTTCTTTCCCCTTGCTCTCACACGCTGTCCTTCTCTGTTCCCAGCTCTCTGCCTCCTGCTGTTTCTGCCTTGTCCGAAGGGGATAGTTCTCAGCCTCGCATGCTGGAAACGCTGCCAGCGAATGTTTCTGTGTGCTGCCTGCCAGGTCCCTGGGGAAAAGGCCTGGAAATGCAGCGCGGGAGGAGCAGTGGGAGCAAGGGAAAGCCATTGTTTCTCACTGCTCGCCTGCTGCATTTTCTAATGGGAAAACTCCCTCCGCGAGGTACCGAGTTTATGTCGCTGTGAGGCTGCCCCCTCCCCCTTGCCCCAGAATTTACCATCCCCTCGCGCTGAGGAGGAGAGGCTGCAGAACCACTGCGAAAAAGCTGAGGCGTGTTTTCAATTTGCCTCCTGCTTATCTCTGGTGTTTGGACAGAGAGGTTTAAAAAGCTGGATTTTCTGTCCCTGCAGAGTAAACACACAGAACCCGGCAGCACAAACTATTTCTGGCTTATCAGTGGAGGAATGCAGCAGCTGAGGCTTAGCGCGAGTGGGCCGTCAGCAAGGCCCTGAAGGGGCCCCCTCCCCACTCCGCGCTATTAGAAGTGTGAGAGCCCAGCAGGACTCAGAGGGGAGAGTTGGAGAAAAAGGCAGAAAAGGGAAAGAAAGAGGAAGAGAGAGAGTGAGAGAGGCTGAGCAGACCCTGATGGCTACAGACGAAGTTACAGGAGGGGCTCGCAAAGCTACGAAAAGCAAACTTTTTGAGTTTCTGGTCCATGGGGTGGTGAGTCGGGAAAGTTAGTGAGCTGGCTGGCTCTGAATAGAGGGATGAGTGGAAACTGGAGGCTCTGTGCTGGGCTGGATCGGCTCCTGCAGTGTGCTCTTGGGGCGGTGGTAACTGCCTTGCCAGCAGAGCACCGGGGTCTGTGAAACCCCCAGAATATGCACCGATTCATTGATAATATCGGCTTGTGTCTGGGGGGTTGTGTGCTGTGATTTTTGCTTTGATTCTCCATGACTGGTGAATGGCATGCTATTGAGCCTGACCATGGTGCAGAATCTGCACTGGATCTGACCCAAATGGGCTTGTAGGACACTTTGTTCTGTAATCAAACTTGTGTTTTGAAAAACAATTCTGATGCAAGCCTGATGAAGTCTTGTGGTACTGCGCTCTGGTTCTTGTCTTCAGTCTGGGCTCTAATGTATCCTCTGGCTACTTAACAGGTGACTTTCAGGGGCTTGAAGAGATTAGCTCGCAGATCTGTAACAGTCTATGGGCACTCACCCATGAGAGAATTTCAGGGTGCCATGCTTATTAAATGAATTCTTAATGTCTTTAAAAAGATGTCCTGCTTTTGTTTAAAGAATTAAGGCTTCGATCTCCATTTAAGGGGAAATGCTAATCCTGTTTTTCTGCCATTGGAAATGATGTTCTTTAAATGTCTCTCTAATGGTTGAAAGCAATCACCATTTACAGCGTTTGGATTTCTTGTATTGATATACATATAACAAAAATAAGACCCAATGGGTGCAGATATTGTTTGATCAGAGATGGTCTGTTTTCTCTTGAGGATTCTAGCACCTTCTGTGAGACCTTTTTGAAGACATCAGCTGGACAGTCTTGTGCAAAGGTCATAGAAATCTGGGGGAGCTCACTGCAGGCCTCTAAGTTATCTCCATAATTCAGGCATACCCCAGATGTGTTGAATCCAGCTTGTGTCCTTCAGATCCTGAGTACGGTGAGGCTTGCGAGGCTGAGGACTTCTCAGTGGCATTCTGGTTTTGTGAGAACAGCGAACAGGTGATGTACCAGTGTACAGGAGCAGTCTAGTCTGCATTGCTAGATGGGCAGGAATGATTGAATAGCAGGTGTGCAGGTCTGTAATGGTGGTTTCATTGTGGACATGTGAGTTTATTAAGATGACCGTAGTTGGGCAGAACCATAGGCAAGGTGGAAGGGGTGTGTGTATTTTTCCTTTTCCAGGGCTTCTGCTGGTATTTGCGCACCAGTGGTCTTCCTTCAGTAACAGGAAGAGTTGCTGAGTTAGTTGGGTGAATTTGCTTCTTTCCCATGTAGGTGTGAAAGAAGCATGTTAGCCTCTTAAGCATGGGAATTTTAATTTGCACCAGAATAAATACAGTAGAACTTATTTCCATTATCTATCTGGATGCTAGAAGAGTCAGACTTGTCAGCACTGGGTGTTTAGATACTAGTGGCACCTTACTTGTATATGTGTATTACCCTGCATACCTGCTTTTGTTCATCATCTTTTCATTACCTTAGTGAGGCTAGGGATTCCTGTCTTTTGTTCTCTTGCTGGAACACCTCTTCTAGGACCCTCTTCTCCTGTAGTTCTGCTTTTGCTTCTGTGTTTGTTCTTCACCTCTAGTTTCTTCCCGATCTCAGAATCAGTTTGATCAAAACAGATTGAGGTAGTCAGTCTTCCATTACTTACAAAAGATAAAAAAAAAAAAAAAAAAGTTATAACTTCATTTTATCTCTTCAAGTCCAGTATCCTACCAAAGGGAATGAGCCATCACAGCCATTAACCTGAGTTCACACATTGCAGAGTCTGGTTACCACGTACAGTATGTCTGCATCTGAATGAATTAATTGAAAATTCAAAATGAATAGCGAACTTTTACAGAATTCCTTGGAATCAGATTATGCCCCCATTTCAGGGAAAAACTCCCTCTCAAATTATTTATTTTATATTTTATCTTCAATAAAATTATTTATTTGGTTATTAAAGGCATTATTATTATTTTGCAAAAATGGGGGTATGTAAATAGGGGTAGAAAGTTGTGAGAAAAATTCTGTTATGTGAACACTTAAATGGAAAGGAGAATTTTGTGCTATTTAACTAAGGACAGTTAGATTTTGGATTCATTTGATCTTTCTGGAAACATATGTTCTTTTGCTGAGGTCACTTTGCCCTTTGCTCTTGTGCATTTCATCTTGCCTTTGTTCTTTTCCGTATTGCTAGCTTAGAAGATGTCTTCTTCCCTGTTTGTGTCATTCAGATAGGATGCCTCTGTAATGTAAGATCTCTTCATGGTTAAAAATCTTAAGTGCGATACTCTATCCTGCCCAAATTCTTGATAGTTTGTTACATCTCTGCTTAGCAGTTCTTCTAGAAAGGGTAGATTTCTTTCAGTTATTTATTTTAACAATTTTCTAACTCCTGGTCTGTGGCATCAGGGTCCTGCACATTGTTTCTGTGGGAAGAGAGAAAGGAATTTTTTTCAAAGGTTTCATACCTCACTTTGTCATTTTTTCCCCTCTCTGCTCTATTTCTAGCACTTTTATGGATATATACAGCTTTAATGACTACATTTATGCTGATTTATCTTATTCTTGATGTGTTTTCTACTGTCCAGTAGTACGTTTCAGGCTTTCTTAGACATTTCCCTCTGGGTGTCCAGCTTTTACTTTAAATTCTGTTGACCAAAACCAAGATATTAATCTCTGCAGGCCATTCCTCTTCTCAGTTTCTTCTATCCTCCTATCATAGGCCGCCCTGTTGGCTAGATGGATGTTTTCCTTGTCTCCTTTTTTTTTTTTTTAGTTTTGTTTTTCCTTTCTTTCTCAAATAAGTATCTTCACATATAGCCTTGAGAAGATCCATAGTGCAGATCTTGTCAAAGCTCTTGTCCAGATGTCTGTCCTTTTGTGACTCAATTGCAGCAATCTTCTCTTTGGTACCGTGTACTGTTGACCTTGCCGGTGTCATCTTCCCACAAGAAGCTGCTGAGAAGTTCGTTTTCTTGTCCGGTTGTTCTGACCTTTTTAATTTGCTTTCTTTTTTCTATTACCACTTTATCTTCCTTCCAAAACCAATCTTCTTTCCTTTCATACACAAGATATACCTATAAAGGTCTATGTCCCTTTTTTAAACTATCAAGTTGTATCTGTATGTACAATATACTTGTTGTCAATTCAAATCACTTTCTTCCCTTAGTTATTCTTATTCTTTGCCCCCTGTGCTGTGCTTGGGAAGCTCTTAAAATAAGTCCTTACACGTATTTAGTTTCTGCTAATATGTGCTTTTACATAGGTTCTGCTAATCTTTACAGTTTAATACCAGTTATGCATTAAAAAATAGATTAAAGGACGGGTCTGGTTTTCCAAAGATGTGTATGGGGTGTTTAATAGATTCACCAGTGTTATGGAAAAGGGGATGAGCAGTGAATTTCATAAACAAATGTTGCATCTTCTCATACATAAATGAACTATAACCATGCAGGAGGAAGTCTTGGATGTTATTGTGGGCTGCCTAGTATGTAGCAGCAGCCACTGGTACTAAAAAAGCAAGTAAAATGTTTGCTTCATGAAGAAATGGGGCAGAGAATAATACAGAAGGTATTGCCAATCTGTTGGCACATACTTACAAGATTTACTTTTTTTCATTTTGGTCATGTGGAGCCATGCTCGTTTGTGTGACAAATAAGCAAAAGGAGGGGTAACTCAGAGAGCAGTGATAGTGGGAGGCCTGTGAAGACTTCATCAGTAAGAGAATGGGAAATTTGGGGTGGTTAGGCCTTGTAGGAAATGATTTTATTTTTTTTTTGGTCATAATATCTAAGGATAGAGATTGATTAGGAAAGTTGTGAAATCTCTGTCACTGGAGGCTCTTAGGAACTGGTTAAAGGAGTAAACATCTGTCTAAGATGATGGAGATACTGGTGACACTTTATTCAGACTAGGAAGGACTGGATGACCTCAAGGACTCATATTTCAGTATGTTATGGTATTTGTTTTATTATAACAGGAAGAACTAGAGATACTTTTCCCAAATTGAAGAGTGGTCTATTTTCTTTCAGCTGGTCATCAGTCTGCAGAGATCACTACCAGAAGTAGTAAGGTGAAGAGATTACTAGGTTTGAAAAAATTGAACTTCATTAATGAGAAATATCTTACTAATTTTTATATTATCGTGGATATAAATACTATCTTGTCAGAGCATGAACACTAGAAAGGGTAGAAGAAAGCCTCATGAACCGTCGTCATTGGGCAGTTTTGTTCCACTTTCCTAATACAGAGTGGTCTGTACATCTGTCCATGCTAGGACATTTTCAGAGAACAGTTTCTGGAACGAAGTCACTGGTTTACTGCATACGTATTTTCTGTTTTGTTCAGCAAGGAGATGCTTGGGGTGTGTGCAGGGCAGCCTGAGGAATTCAAGTGATGTTACCACAGTGAAAAAACGTGATTGGGAGGTGGTACTTAAAGAAGTCTGATGGAGTAAAAACATTGTACAGCATTCAGTCCTTTCAGATCAAACCATTCTCTGATTCTATGATGACTTGATTAGTCTTTTCTTGGTTCTAGCCATGATGTTGCAGAGCTCGGTTCTCTCTCCCTTCCCAAGACCCTCCCAAACTCGTTTACAGAGTGAAGGGGCATATTCTCCTAGTTGTTCTTCCCACAAAATCCACTCCATATCACATTAGATCACTATAGTGGGTGTGATCAGATCTACTAAAACCAGCAAGCTGATGGAACTTAAAGCTAGTATATTGGCTTTGTCTGTTTCAGTTCCAAAGGCTGGTTTTGTTTTATTTTTTTGTTATAGTTGTTTTTGTTTTAACTGTGTACATTCGAGTGCTTTGTTTGGGCTTTGGTATCTACTTGTTCAGAGTTCTGGATGGACGTGCATGAAATAGAAAGGTGGTCACTGACCTTGTGTCTCAAGTTACAATTCACAGCTTTGTAAATGTAGTGTTTACCAAGTTAAAGATTTTTGGATTGTTACGAACATTTTTCAAAATGGGTGGAACTTGGAAGTCACAGCTGTGGAACACTTGGACCCTGATTCTAGGATATGAGTGCTTTGGGGAAATGGAGGAAGGTGAATATAGTAGCTGAGCAGTAAGAATGGAAATACTGATATTTCTGCTTACTAAGTCTTTAAAAGACTTAGAGACATTTAAAAAACAGGAAGCCATATGAGGTCATACCTGCAGTTATTAGAGGAGAGGAGAGAAGATGTCTACAAGTTCGTTTCTTATACTTAAAAGAATCTGTTTCACTGTTGGGGAACGATTTGTGCAGTCAGGATCCTGTTGCCACCAGGCAATATTAGCTTGGCTAAAGTTCTTAATGGTTCCGTATACTTCTTGTGACCTGTTCTTTAAGACAGCATCTGACACATCTCTTGCTTATGTTCATACCTTATAGAAATTAGCAGATATTGTAATGCTATGTTGTAAACCTTGTCTACACAAGGTAGCTCGTATTTTAGTTCCCAAAATATACTGTTTGAATAGTTGGCAATTTTTGTTGTTCTTCTGAAAATGTATCAATTTCTTTATTAACAAGAAGCCCATAGCTGTTCACTGCTTGCCATCAGAATCATCCTCCATGCTACCAAGATGGATAGAGCTTTGCCTTTTAGAACAGGCAGTGTGTAGGTACAGCTCGACGATATATGGCAGTGCAACAACTCCAAGCTCTCTGTTCAGTCCATTTCTAAGCCTCCTGTAGGTATCTTTGCTCTTCCTAATACTTTATTTTCTTTGTACCTATCAGTTCTCCAGGTTATTGTCCTCTACCTGGTATGTTCAGGCAGGAACCCTCTTTTCATCTGCTTCAGCATTTTGGCTGCTGTGATGTCTCTTGAGAAAAACGTCTTCAGTGGAAATATATAGAAGAACACCTCTCCACTGCTGTTTCAATTCTTCCATCAGAAATTACAAGTTTACTTGAAGAATGACGAAGAAAAGGATGGAAAAGGCAATTCTCTAATGTAACAGGATGTTTACGAGGGGAAGAAAGTAGAAAAGCCAAATGTGTGGCTTAAGAAGCTGTGCAGTAGAAGGTAGTGAAAGAGATTTAGCAGCAGTTGTTGGGGAGGTGGTGTTCTTTTTGCACTGTCAGTGTGCTCAGTTTTGGAAAGATGTGTGCTAGGCCAATGATGGACTCTTTACAGATGCAGTGAGGAATGCAGGCAATCAACAGAATTCTTAGGAACCAGCATGCACGTGTTAAATACTGGTTGTGTACCTTTCTGTGTGCTGTACTGTTTGGCCTTGTCTAGCTGCTTTGCGAGCAGACGAACTCAACTCATTGCTTCATCTGCTGAGAGCTGTAAGCGTGGTTCCTTCAGCTGGGGACATCCTGTGGTCTTCCTCCTTTGTTATGCCCCACAGTGCTTTTGCCCTCTTTCCAGTGATGTTTGAAGTAGTGCAGAGTAACACGTGTATGGAATCAATAGAGGAAAAAAGGGGGTAGGTCTGTGTGTGTGGATGGAGGTTGAGTAGGAGCATCTGAGATAGATGATCTCCTAGGATAAAGAATGTGTTAGTACTGTTCTGCTCTGCAGCCTTCACCATGGATGATATTTGTTCAGGACAGCTTCCATTCCTCGGATAACATGAGGAAGAGGGGAGAGAGAGATCCTAAGCTGTAGCCAGTGGCACTTCACAGATCTCTTTCAAAAGATGTAATTGTACAGTAATACTCTTTAGTGTTGTGGCAATTTCTTTTTCTTTTTTTTTTTTTTTTTTTGTCATGATTGTGAAAATTTGTGGTTTTTTTCTGCCACTGTGTTCTTTCTCACGTGTTTGAGAGCAAAATAAACTGTTAGGTAAGGTAATTGCTTGTGTGTTCTCCTTTTACAAAAGTTTAGCTAGGGAAAGCATTTCTGTATCTGTTGGGAGTCTGGTGGGCTTATGTCAGTGAGATGGCAGCTGCATAGTAAGATTTTATCTGCATATGATACTGGAGATAGGAGTATGAGAAGTTAAGGGGAAGAGTGAGGCACATAAATGAGTGAGATTGCATATGCTGTCCACAGTGTTGCTGCTCTTGCTAGAGCTGTCTCATTTTTCTGTTTCATGCTTTCTCTACCTTTCTCTGTTTTACTGCTTAACAAAGGGAACTGAAGAAAGTTCAAAGATCTCAAATTTAGATCAAGACTAGATCTGGCTTGCTGATCTTGTTCTCCAGGCTTTAAGGGGTTCTTTATGAGAATCAGAGGAGGGGGTTTGCAGTCTGGTCCTTGTGGCCAGACAGCCTCCAGAGGAGATGAACATGAGATGACTGTGTCCAGGATCTTGACTCTTCTGAATGACTGTCAAATGTCCCAGGATGATTGACAGGCAACAGCCGGCCTAATAGTCTGTTCTTTGCTGGAAGAAGGCCACGATTTGTAGATTGACAGACAACAGAAAGATCTTAAATACAGTCTCAAGTGTGAAGCCCATTCCAGGCCATTTGTTTCTGCAGACTCTGCTTGGGTCAGGGAGTGGGAAAGAAGAGAGTTGCTCTGTACCAGCAGCCTTCATAGCTCAGTGTTGATGGGAGACAATGTTTTCAGCTCTGCACAGAGCCTCAGTTTTGCCTCTTTGCTGTCTCTTGCTACTGCTCTGCTCGATGATCATAACCACAATCAGTCTCCTACATGAATACTTCCTGAATTCACCTGCTTGGCTGATGCTGCTGGTCTCTCTCCTACTTCAACATTCCCTCTCTGCCCAAACCAGTGATAGCCATTGCTTCTTTACTGATTGTTTCCCTTCTTTCTTTCTTCCTTTTTCTTCGTGCATCCAAGCACAAAGAATATTTAAGACTTGTGATGATCAGGGAGGGCACTGAATTGGTGCTTTGGGGACTACAGAGAACTTGGGTGGGTAATCTGGAGAGGCAGCTAAGCACTGTTGCTTCGAGCTTTCAGCCAGAATAGGTGCTTTGTTACTGTAAAATGTAGCAGTCAGAGCATAATGTAAGAGCTGCTTTTCTGGCTCAGAGGAAAGGTCCCTCCAGGCCTGCAGTGCTATCCCTAACAACAACCATAACAGATGGCTACAATAGACAGAGAGAAGGGCAGGTGTGTAGAACATCAGTCTTCAAAAATTTTTGATTGTGCACCCTTATCATTAAAAATTCTTGAGCATGCACCCTCCATATGTATGTATTTATTTATAAATTCTATACATGAACTCCCGTACCACTACATACATTATAAAACAAACAGATTTTTTTTAAAAAAAGGATAAAGATGAAAACTCCATTTAAAAAAATGTTAATGGTACAAAAAAATATTTACTTCTTGCACCTTGGTGGATTGTCTTGTGCACCCTCTGGGGTGCACACATTCCACTTTAGAGACCACTAGAACACTTCTTCTATATGCTTTCTTGGTCTTTGACTGTTGATAACTCAGAGAAATTTCTGAGCCAAACCTGTTTCCCATGTCTTCAGCATCCCTTTGAAAAGCAGTTCCATGGGTTCACTACCCACTGTGTGGCAAAACACCGTTTTGTTTGTCTGTGAGCCTGACTCCTCATGTGTTTCTCTGATGGCCGAGGTTTATGTACTAGTAGGGGCAGTGAACAGTCAATCCCCATCTGCCCTCTCCAGGCCACTTGTGATTTTGCAGAGTTCTTGCAAATGCCACCTTAGATTACCTTCGGTCATCTGTTTCCAGGTGGAAGAGTCATAGTATATTTGATTTTACTTATGTGAGTACTATTGCATATCTTAATTTTTCCATGCCATTCTTTGTATCTTTTTCATGTCTAATCTACACTCAGCAGAAAACAGAACTGCACACAGTATTCACCGTGCTGGCAAACCATGAACAATGGTGCAGTGATGTTCTCTGTTCCTTTCCTTGTCATTTCTATTATTTAATGGCCGATGATTTCTATAGAGGTGTCTATGTGAAAATCTTGCTTTTGTTGGGCAACAGTCAGCTTAGAGTACGTTGTTCTGTATGTGTTGATTGGATTGATTTCTTCCATGTAAATCACTTGTAATATGTATTGAAATCCATTTTCATCCTCCTTTTACTTGTGCAGTCAGTCTCCTTAAGTCCTCCTGCAGTTCTTTGAAGCTGGTCTTCATCCTTGCCAGCCTGGTTGCTTCTGAATATGCTGAAAAGCATGGGTCCCAGAAAAACTCCTTTTATTGTCAGAAACATTTACTTTTTCCCCATTTCTATACTTTAACCAATTACTTGCCTATAACGGATGCCATGGCCTTTTGGTTTCCTTGAAAGACTTTCTAGAGGGAGTTTAGAATTTCAAAAGACTTTTATGTATGATCATTCTTTTTCATGTGTTGGTTTAGATGCATATAGTGTGTGTGCATGTCTGTATTTTCACAAATATGTAAATATTTATAATAAATGTTTTGGTAATTCTTAGAATGAAACTAAGTTCTCTCTGTTTTAAATTAAGTTTTATGAGTGGCAATTATTTTAATGGTCTTTTACCTTGAGGAATATAAACTAGGATTTACCATTGACTTTGCTATATGTCTAGTACATCATTAAGCTTGTGGTCTCACCTAAAGTGTCTGCTCCAGAGCATGCTGAAGTCAACATAAATGTCAGGACTTTCAAATGCCTAAAGGAGCTGCTGGCAAACTGTCGCTGTCTCTCTCTCTCTCTCTCTCTTTTTTTTTTTTTTTTTTAATTATAGAGCCTTGATTGGAAAGATGACCTTTTCTTAAAGAATTCTTGTCACTTCATGAGCTTATGGTGCTCTCCAGTGTAGGTGGAGGCAAGGGCTCTTAATGGAAAATGTTTTAGCATAGTATTTCCGTAGTTCAGCTTTGCTTGTTACAACATCCCTTATGAGCAAAGCAACCTGCTAGTCACTGCAAAATCTGAAGTGCTGTGGATGTGAGCTTGCTTGTGGCTTTGTTTAGTGTGTGGACTGCTCCAATTTGAACTGTGTATAGCATGCCGTGTCAGCTTTAGTCTGAAGGTAGAGCTATCTACTGTAATCTGGCCTGGGTGCTACTGACCACTGAGTGTTTTCCCTAGCCTAGAATTTCTCATCTCTGTTTCCTGTCTACTTTCTCACAGAGTTCCTCTTTACAGTGTCCATGAAATTCCTATTCAGATCTCTTGCACTTTGCGTTGCTGCATAGTGTTTAGAAGGATGGTAAAAATTGGGAACTTGCTGGAGCTAGTGTCTGGTTATGTACAAATGTTGCAGCTGAGGAAGCAGGGACCAAACTGGCTCTTTTTCTGTTTTGCTTCTTCCCTAGCGACCTGGGATGCCATCAGGAGCTCGAATGCCCCATCAGGGGGCTCCCATGGGTCCCCCAGGTCCCCCATATGTTGGAAGCCCCTCAGTGAGACCTGGGATGCCCCAGACTGTGATGGAAACAACAAGAAAACGCACTGCGCCACAGCAGGTCCAGCAACAACAGGTGCAGCAGCAAGTGCAACAGCAGCAGCAAGCTACCCAGAATCGAACTAGGAGGTGAGTATTCCAGGAAGGAAGCAATGGAAAACAATTTGAGGAAGAAAAATTGATCTCTTTTTAGCAATAGGAAAGACCATTAAGATTGAATGAGACAGACCAGAAGATTTATATAATGTCAGTTTCTTAAAACTGGCAAAAAAAAAAAAAAAAAAAAAAGGTAAATTTTACTCTGTATTTTGTGAATGGTCTCTGAACAAGTTGACCATTACTAATTTCTTGTTTTGCAGTTAAAATGCTTTTTTTACCTTGCAAGTGTATTGGGCTATAAATCTGGCCATTACATTTAGCTTGTAAAGTTAATGAACAATTCTTTTCTAATATACTACAACGATTTTATAATTTGTTGTCTGCTTTGTATAGTTTCTCTGATTTCTGACTGGCTAAGAAAATGGTTTATAAGCAAGGGACAAGTGGAAAAGATTGTTGGTTGGTAATATGAACTCTTGTACTATGGTCACTAAGCAGACTGTTCCTAACACTTGCAGTTTTCCTAGGCATTGCTACATATAAAGTAGAGAGATAATCATGGGAAACAATTTCCCAGAATTAGAGGGACTTCTAAAACGAGCTTTATTTTTATTTTATGTCCACTTCGTGCAGTGCTGAGTGCACTCTCTCTTAAATAACAGTTCTCCAATTTCTTTTTGCAACTTATTAGACCTTATCAGACAGGACTTACCAAGTGTGAGCCAGTTCCCAATAAACAGATAGGGTGCAGTCTGCCTTTGCAGTCTGCAGATAGGGGGCTGTCTGCCTTTTGCAAAGTCATTATAGGTATGTATAGATTCAGACATTGTTCTGGTGGTGTCATCATATCTACTTGTAGGTAAATGTGACTTCCTATGCTCAGTGCTTCAGGAGCCCTGCTCTGTCCAGGGTGTATGCCTTGGGTCAGCAAGCCAGACTTGGGAATGTTTGTATCTGGGATGCATCTGGAAAGGACTCCAATACCGAGAGTATTAATATATTAAGATTGAATAAGTTTAAATACAGAAGGAATGTGTGTGGGTGCAGCATGTGAGCACAAGAGATACATGTGCGTCATGGAGGCCTTGCCCAGCACTAGCCAAAATGCACATTCCACAGCACTTCCCAGGAGATTCTTCAGGAAACTGCAGAAAATAATGCCTAGCCTTTAAATATACAACCTGAAAAATTGCCACAACTGGATAATTGAATTAAACTTCACTCACCAGTTTCCAGGGATCATTAAAGAAGAACAGTTTGTTACCTAAAAGTTGATGTCAAAAGCCACAGAAGAAAGCAGTTCCCCCTCCCAGTTCTTAATTTTAACGTTTACAGCAGTAATCACAACTGTGGTGAGGCCAGCTTACACCAGTGCTTGTTAGGTACTCTGAAAAGTTTCTCTGTTTCTTCTGCCATGCCTTTCCTCCAGATAATGTTTTCAGTGTTTTCCCCTTGTTCATTTCTACCTCCCTGTCATTTCCCATTGAAACTTTCCTAGTTTTTCAGGCAAACTTTTCTGGCACCTTGGGTCCCAATTCTTGGATTAATTGAGCCCAATGTTGTATGGCACAAAAGGGCCAAGATGGTGTAATCTTCCTTTCTTGGCAGGTTTAGAAGACTAAAAGCAGGTAAATCTTTCTGTAACAGACTCCTGAAGAACTTTTGAGAACCATGTTTTTTGTGGGGTTGCCTTGTTTGTTATTTTCTTTATAACTGAAAGCATAGGGGTTGCTGTAGGTGCATATTCCACTTCCTTTGGGAGGATGCGGTTTGCTCAGGCATTGCTTCCAGAATCTGAAGAGTTCAGTGCAGATTTGATTTTTGTCAGTTGTGGAAGGTCTTGGAGATTTAAACCATGTAACATTCTAGTCCCATTATTTCTGTGCTTTAAAAAGAGACATAGTTCACCTGTGAAAGTGGATACAACTGTGTAAATGAATTTTCTACCCCAAGAGAGGATGTAGTTTGCACCTCCAAGCAGAGTTTCTCAGGGTTGGCTTATGTGGAGATGAAGAATCTGTTATTTCAGGCCAGGCTTACTATTAGCAAATGCAGGAAGGGAGTATGCTGCACTGATGTGTGTGGAAACAGCCTTTATGTGGACATGGCTGATGACAGACTTTCAGGATGGAAAGAGTAAGGAAGGGCATCCTTGTGACATGGCAGACTGGCAGCAGGCGGTTGTCTTTCTCCCATTTTTCTGTCACAGATGGAGTGATTCATCTCCTCTTTAAGATAAAGGCCTTGCAAATTACAGAGGTGAAGAGTAAGGCCTGAATTCTCTCTTGGCCTTGCTAGAGAAAGCTAGGTGACAGTTTGATGGGAACAAATGCTTTTTAGAATCTGAGGAATTCAAAAGATGATATATTTGGCAGTCTTCCTAACAGTACCATTTCTTAGGCTTATATAAATTTGGCTGTATGCATATGAACAAAAGGAGTGTTTTTAAAAGCATACATATGTAAATGTGCTTGTGTCTGGGTATGGACACATTATGCATATGCCCTAGAGGAACGCAGATATCTTCCCACATACATGTCCATAAAGATGAACAAGCATGGAGACATAAACTCACTTACCTTTGTAGATCACTCACTTCAATAAAACAATTGTGTATACGTAGGGAAGGGTGCATATATTTGTGTTTTCATATGCAAATGAACATCAGCACTCAATTTTGGGCATGAATGAATACATACTCAGATCAGTTTGAACAAGTTCATGTTTTCAGTTTACAGGCACTCACCTCTTACTTGTGTGTGTGCATAGGTATGTCTGTGCACACTTCCACACATGTGCAGTGTCTGTCTCCATGCTCTTTCTGTATCTATAGACGACATGCACATGCACTTGCATACATTGCCGCCCTGCACCATAGAAGATGCTGTGATCAAAGAACTTGTGCACTTCTTTCCAAGATGCATAACAGACAGCTCTGATTTGTTCTTAGCTAACTACCTCCCCAGGCTGCTGAGAGAAGGGGTCCTAGGTCCTGGGCATGGGTGAGACCCTTTTGCTGATGCATGCACAGCTGTGCACCAGCATGTGGAGATGTCAGGATAATTTAGCAGGTGGCCTCGTTACTCCTAGATCTGTCACCATGGTAACGTGTTTTTTTCTTTAAAAAATGTACAGTGCCAAGAGGAGGAAGATGGCTGACAAAATTCTCCCTCAGAGGGTGAGTCGCTTTCATTTCCTATTCCCTTCACAATCAGTTCAGCATCTTAGTGTAATTAGAGGGATTTTAGAAAATACTTTCACTTTTTGTTTAAAAATCTAATTAAAAAGTAAGTAGGCAGTGGGTGAAAGTCTAGAGAGCAAGGCTGGGGCTAGGGCTGGGGGCTGGGAGTGTGGAGTACAACCCGGCCTGTCATCCTCTTGCATTGGGTTAGCTGTGCCAGCACTGCCACTTGCTGGATGGACAGTGGTGCTGGTCTGTGAGGTACATGACTTGATGATGCTGGGGCCCTCTGGATCTTAAAGATGTTTTTGATCAATTTTTGAGGCTGGCCAAAAATTGGTTCGGAGTGCAGATGTTCCTGCAGGAGACGAGCTTGTTCTTGGGTCTCTCTGGCCCAGTAGACCTGCCAGGTTCTAATTTTTGCAGTTGTGTCTTAGTACGAGTGAATCCACATAAACAACAGAGTTCAAGGGGCCTGTACTGTTCAGACAGATAATAACTCTTATCCTTGCAGGTATGTCTAGGTTTTAGTGGGTGTCTATGCTTGATCCTCGATGTTTAAATGTTCTACTTCCTTCTCAAACATCAGCATTTCTCTCTACTCTCCTTCTCTTTCATTATTCCCAGACTTTTCTGTTCCTGTACTCTCTGTAGTACAGTTCCCCTAAAACATACACGCTCCCAAAAAGCAAGGTTCTTTAGTCTTCTAAACACACACACTCATCACACTGTAGTCCCAGTTTCTTTGGCTTCTGGTGCTCTTTCTGGGCTCAGAATTCCTTTCATAGGTATGTGGATCTCCACTTCCTCTTCAAATCTACCTTTCAGCTACTAGTGTAAACCCAAACTTGATGACAACCTTCAGATTCTCTTCTGTGACATTCCAAAGGTACCTAGTTACAACCAACTGAAGGTGAACCCACTTTGATACTCCTGATACCAAATTATCACTTCTCGTGTTGTAACTCCTGCCACCCCCTGAAAGCACAGTCTTTAGTAGGTTACCCATTCGTTTTTTCATGCTGCTGTCTTGAAAGAACTAAGCTACCATGAAATTCAGACCTATGAACTACTTGCAGTCTCCATGCTGTTTGTGTTGAAAGTTTCATTCCTGCTTTGCTTGTAGTCTGTACTTTCTTAAACAAGACAGGTAGCTGCCATTCTGTCTCACAAATTGTTTTCAGAGACAATTATATATCCTGTATGGTGAGACTATCATTTCAAACGTGTGTTCATTTGAAGGCTTTTTTTTTTTTTCTTTTCTGTCCTGGTGCCATTATAAGATGAAAAGGTCTCAGATAGAACAGAGGTAACCAAAATTCTTTGGCAAGAGATGACTTACGCCTCTTTAGCAAATCCATGATAGTTTTTAATAGGTAAAACATACCTTCTGATATGTCAAAAAGCTATACACAGATACTAGCACCTTTCAGAACCATGCTGTTACCAAGTCTTCCTGCCTTTCAGTATCTTTGTTGCTGTCAGCCAATAATTTTAACTGATGCAATGATTAGACAACACAAATTGCTAGAGTCCTGTCTGCAATAGAGTTTTATGAGTGCAGTTGAAGTGGTGGTATCAATGATACGATTTTGTGTCTGAATTAAGGTACTCCATTAGGCTGCTGTCTGTGTATCAGAACCTCCTAACTCCCACCAGTCATGAGATGGGAAGATGCTGTGTAGATTAGTGTCCTGTCAAGTGGAAGATTTGCACTGGTGGATATTGAAAGTAAGCAAAACACAGGGTAAAACTTCTAGCTTTCCAAAGCTAGTTCTAGAGTATTTTCCAGCCAATGGGCCTCTGTTTCCACAAGCTTTTTGCAGTCTCTTGCTTTCTGGTAACTGTGATGGCATGAAGTGTTGATATTAAACACATTTTACTCTTGAGAACCAGCTTACGTAATAGAAGATGGAAAATGAGGTGAGTTCTCAGTGTTGGTTACTATGCTAGTCAGGAAATTGCACGGATGCCCTGCTACTGGACTTCCAGACTCTGATCAAGCTTGTGCTTCATATTGCAGCATGTTTCTAGCTGGGAAGGGTTGCACATATTCTACGGTTTAGCTATTTGACAAAGACTTTGTTTTGCGTAGATATAATTGTACAAGAACAGTTCAGTCTAGCAAACTATTGTGTATAGGAAGATAGGATTATCGAACCCCAGGGGACCTCCTGGCACATCCAGTTTGATTCACCTGCCATAGAAGCCATGTCATACAGTTGCTGTCTCAAGACTAGTTAGCTTCCTTACCTCTGAAATATTTTAGATTTGGCAGCTCCCACACTTTTTTTTGGTTAGGCTCAGCAAAGCAAGTGGTTTCAGTTTTCCAAGTAAGAGTGCCTCCCTATGATTCAAATCATCACAGTCCTTCGTTGTATCTGTTCCACGCTAATTTCACACCTTTTGAACTTCTTTAATTTTACCTCTCAGGAGACCACAACTATACATAGTATTCTAGATTACCAGTATCACCGATACTTGCGTAAAATTAATGCATTTTTGTGTCTACTGGAAAGAGGTAGTGATACCCCATTACGATCAGATTTTCTTTATTACAGCCTTCCTGCATTGATATAGCATGCACTCATTCTATGACTGACTAGTACTCATGAATATTTCTACTTCTTTTCTTTGTAACTGGCAATTTCCCATATTAGAGTAGGAATTGTTGGTATAGACTCTAAGGAACATGGTCTTGTGCTTTGTATTGTTATTGTTCATCCCATTTCTATTATACAGTTCTCAGCTTCCTTATACTCTTTGTACTATCCTCTGCCTTGTATTGACAATACCACCAAATTTGTCATTATTAAGTTTTGTTAACATACGTCTAATCTTGTGTCTCGGTTTCTACCTCAAGCCACATCTGCCTTTAGAGAAACATGACCGCACGCCAGATTGCCCCTTTTCTTTTTCCAGGGCATTCTTCCTCATTACTGCTGGTCAATGTATGTCTTTCTCTTAGTTCTGAGTCATTGCTTGTTTTCCAGGCTCTGTGACTGTGATTGACTGTTCTGTTTCTTCAGCTTCCATGCCTACTTTATAATGCAAGAAGCTCTACTAAAAATTCTTCTTACTCCACAGCTATTCATGTCTTTGCTTTCACCCATTAAGCTTGCTGAGTGGAGCACAACTTTCAGACAGCAAGCTGTGTCTCCTTTGGTGGGATGCTTGCATCGTACTATTGGCTACACTTTCTCAGTGCTTCCCTCTGAGGACTTCTTGTCTGTTTGTGTTGATGGGTTTTCATACACTCATCCTTCAATTTTCATCCTCTCTTCTTCACCTTTATAAAGATAATCAGTCAACTCCTGCTGCTGTTCACTGACCACCATATAGGAGTCCTCTGCTGAACTCTCATACCATAATAGCTGTCCTGTTGTTGTTTATTCACTGTATGTCTGTTGTCCGCCTTTTTCTCTATCTGTGTCAACCAGAAGTGTTACTGTGAATCTGCTGCTATTCATTCATACGGAAAAAATGGTGAGGAATGTGATCATCAGTGGCAACCTTAGCTTTAGCAACTGCGAAATAGTGAAGTTCAAAATCCTGAAGGGAATGAGAAAGAGAACAAGTAAAGTGTAGACCCTGTATTTCAGACAAGCAGAGCTTGCATTATTCAGGGAACCGGTAGGTGTGATCCCGTGGGAGGCAACTCTGAAGAGCAAAGTAGCTCAGGGAATCTGGAAGGTCTTTAAGGGCAGCCTCCTTCATGCCCAAGAGCATCCAGATATGCAAGAAAATGTGTAGATTTATGAGGAGCCCAGATTGATAAGCAGGGAACTTGGAGTGCAGCACCCAGTATCAAAAGGCAGTATACAGGAAGTGGAAGCAGGGACAGGCTAAAGGAGGAATTTGGAAACATTACCTGGGCAAGTAGGGATTGGTATCAGAAAAGTCAAAGCTCAGCTGTGGTTGAGACTTGCGGGCAACATCAAGGACAACAAGAGCTTTCACAGGCACATTAGTAATAAAAAGCTGACCAAGGAAAGTGTGGGCCTGGTGCTGTGTGGGGTAGGTGATATAGAGATGACAGACACAGATAAGGCTGAGTTACTCAGATCCTTCTTTGTCTCAGCCCGCACTTAAAATGTCTCCCATACCTCTGTGATCAGTTAACATGTTCAAAAGTAATGACCAGTAATAGACAGGGATTGAGCCAGGGATTATATAACTCAACCCGTACAAGCCCATCAACAGGCTGCATCCACAGTGCTAAAGGAACTGTCCAATGTCCTTGCAAGGTTATTCTCTATCACCTTTGAAGTGTTGTGGAAATCAGGATAGGTCCTTGATGACTAGAGAAGGGCAGTTTTTGCACCCATCTTCATAGAAGACTGAAAGAACAACCCAGGGAACTGCTGGCTGATCAGTCTCACCTTGGTCCCTGAAAAAACTGTTGAGCAAGTCCTATTTGAAACACATTTTGGGGCATGTGAAGGAGAAGGTGCTAACTGGGAGCAGTGAACATCAATTTACCAAGGGTAAATCATGCTTGACTAACCTGATTGCATCTTCTATTAAAATGACTGAATCTGTGAGCAAGAGATAGTAATGCATATCATTTACCTTGGCTTTTGAAAAGTTTTCAACATTGTCTGCCACAATATTCACATATCCAAGTTGTTACATTTTGATCTAGATGGGTGGACAACCAGACAGGTAAAAATATGGTTGGATGATTGGACTTAGAGGGTAGTGGCTAATGGGTCGCACTACAAGGAAGGCAGTGACAAGCTGAGTACTGCAGTGATATATCCTGGCAGCTGTTCTGTTTAGCATCTTTATCAGTGACCTGGAGGAGGCAGTTGATATGCTTGCTCACAGTATTTGCAGATGATGGGGTGGGGGCAGGAGTTGGTACGCTTGAAGGCAGGCTGCCATGCACTGGAAGCTGGACAGGCTGGAGAAATGGGCTGACAGGAACATCGTGAATGGTGGCTACAATGGTGATCTGGGCTGTTGTGTCCCCATGTCTTACATTCTTTGTTTCT